TCATATACTAAAAATCCTATTCGTACCTCCCCTCCCCCTAAAGCCTGGCAACCACGGATCATTTTACCATCTTGCAATATTTTTAAGAGAACTTCTGATGTCATTTAATCGGGAAACGTTTCTAAATGATCTTCTAAGAGCTGACTATAAGGCTCTCTGATAAAACAGCATAGAACTGTATTTCCAGGAGTCACGGGGCCTTCCTGCTTCAAAGCAAAAAGTGTGCAATGATGCAATCTGGGGATGTGGTTATAACTTGAATTATTCTCTTCACGTAATGAAGTTTTGTAGGGAATATAGTATCTGTTCCCATTTCATGCAGCCCAGGATCTGCAGTAAATGTGCTTGTGCCAAGCTGGTTGTAGGACGCGGTGGCCAGGAAAGCTGCAAAGATCCCATATTTAAGTGTTTAGAAAGACCCCCTGTGTAGGAGAGATTATCCTCACATAGCCAGGGGGCATTTTGTCTCCTGCAGGAAGGATAAATTCACTTTTTGTTCCTTGGGGAATTAGGAAAAAAGGCATAAAATACATTGTTTTTTAATCATGTGGCTGTCAGTCTGGACCTGTTTTGAGACTGGATATTTAAGACACCTATCCTTGTTTGTTTTGAATTATTTAGTACAGTTTCTTTAGTGCTTTATTATGTACATTTTTAAACTATTTTTTCTTGGGGGGGGGAATAATTTCAAACTTAGAGTTTGCACAAATAGAAATTATACCAAGAACACCCATATACGCTTTATCCAGATTCACTTACTAACATTTTACATCATTTGCCTTATCATATATATAGGTGGTTTCTTTCTTTCAGAGGTAATATTTCAATTATATGTTACATATGAAATGTTGTCTGAATCATTTGAGGGTATGTTATATACCTCATGGTCCTTTCCCCCCAAATACTTTTGTGTATATATCCTAAGAAGAGGAACATTCTCTTATATAACCAAGACAGTAAATTTAACTCTAATACAATACCTTTATCTACTTTTCAGTTCATATTCCAATTTTTTCAATTAGCCCAACGATGTCCTCTGCAGCGTTCTCCCTTTCCACTACAGAACCCGGTCTAGGGTCAGGTATTATATTTAGTTGTCATGTGTCTTTCTTTTGGGGTGTGTGGGGGGAAGGAGGGGCAGAGGGAGAGGGAAAGGGAGAACCTTAAGTAGCTTCCATACCCAGCACAGAGCCTGACACGGGGCTCAATCCCACAACCCTGAGATCATGACCTGAGCCAAAATCAGGAGTCAGATACCCAACCAACTGAGCCACCCTGGCGTCCCTGTCATGTCTCTTTTACCTCGTTTAGTCTGGAACATTTCCACTGCCCTTTTTAAGAATACAGCCTTACCACCCCTTTTAAAAAACAGAATATTATGTTTTCAGGTTTGTCTGATATTTCCCCAGAAATCTAGGGAAACAGCCCTCTCTGATCTGAGCTGCCTGTTTGAAGCTCTACTGGAGAATAACAATTTCTCCTTTTCTTCTGCCTTTCGAATCTCAATAGGTGTCTCCATTGGCAGAATTTAACCAGGAACCATTCAGGGAAAAGTCTTCTGAAAATAGAATTCTGGGCTTTCTCCCACGGTGCAGAGGAGAATGTAGAGAGGGGTAGCAATGGTGCTAAGTTGACCACCGAGAAGCTGGGGAGAGAAGAGGACAATGAGCGCCCTGCCCTCATGGAGCTTACAGTCTCCGGGGTGATCTGTACGGGCCATGAGGGAAACACACAGGGCTGCGACCCAGAATAACAGGGGCACTCTCTCAGGGCACAGAGGCCTGAAAGATGACGAGGAGCCAAGCTATGTGAAGGGTCGGGTGTGGTGGGCTTGACTGTCTAGGTAGAGAAGTGGCCAGGGCAGTGGGTCCCCTAGCAGAAGAGAGCTTGGTATATTTTAAAAACAACAGGAGGTCGACATGAATGGAATTTGGTGAAGAGGATGGCCGAGATTGGATTGTTCTGGGCTTTATAGGACCTGGTGATGAACTGGCATTTTGTTGTAAGTGAAATAGAAATGTTCCTACTCCATGTGGCACCTTTGGGCAAATTAGAAAAAGGCATCCACTCCTTCAGGCATTTCTATCTTGCTGGAAAATTGTTGTAAAATAGTTTTAGTAGAACAAGGCACTTCTCTGAAATCTGCCAGAGGATATTTGTAATAAATACAAATTTACAATGCTCCAGTGTGAAAGGCACTCTTCCGAAGTTTTATTCTACTACAACCTGTACAACTGTATATGGCAGCCTCTGTGGGGAGCCATGGAACGCTTTCTGCAGGGGGAGTGGTACAATCCTGTGTTGTCCTGTGTGGAGGGGACACGAGGAGAGGAGAGGATTTCAGATGAAGTGTTTTGGAGGTAGATCCTACGATGTTTTGGAAGCAAAGGGATTGGATGAAGGAACTAGGAAAGAGGATGAGACAGTGATGACTCACCAGGCTTGAGGGTGGGAGTGCAATTTCACTGAGACAGGCATAACCTGGAGAGGACCAGGGACTTCAGAAAGAAGAAATCGAGGAGTAAGTAAAATCCAGGTGTTTGCCAGCTCTCTTTGAATGCTCTGCTTTCAACTAAAAGTTCACCAAACTCTGTCTTTTCCAAAATAAATATCTTGAAAAACTTACCCATTAAAATCAAGGACAATAATAAGATCTTTGCCTTTCAGGTTTATCGAATTGGGTTAAACTCAAATTTTGCCAATATTTTCAAGTTCCTCTAAGTTTTAGGCACTCTGCCACAGACTTTACACACCTTATCTTATTTCCTCTGCTCAGCAGTCCATGAGGTAGTTCCTATTTTTATCTTCATTTTACAGAGGAGATGGGAAGCTCAAAGAGAGATCTTATCACTCGATTTGAACATGGTGCCATGGTTACAGGTCTCAGGCAGGAGTTGATCCTATTGCCTTTGTCCCTTGTTTATTTCAGCTTTGTCAGTACTATCTAATAGTACTTTCTGCAACAATGGAAATATTTTATATCTGCACTGTGAGTAGTCATGTGGCTATTAAGTACTTGAAATGTGGTCAGTGTGACAGAGGAACTGAATTTTTATTTATTTATTTATTTATTTATTTATTATTTTTTTAAATATTTTATTTATTTGACAGAGAGAGAGATAGCGAGAGCAGGAACACAAGCAGGGGGAGTGGGAGAGGGAGAAGCAGGCTTCCTGTCGAGCAGGGAGCTCCATGTGGGACTCGATCCCGGGACTCCGGGATCATGACCTGAGCCAAAGGCAGACGCTTAACGACTGAGCCACCCAGGCGCCCTAGGAACTGAATTTTTAATAACTACATGTGGTTAGTGGCTACCATATTTGTTGGTACCGCTCTAAATTCAATGGAGTCCAAATTGGGTTGTGCACAGCCCAGGGAGGGGACAGAATATGCAGAGTAGAGAAAGAAAACCCACACATGTTTTATTTTTTTACTTTTATTTTTTTTAAGATTTTATTTATTTATTTGACAGAGAGAGAGACAGTGAGAGAGGGAACACAAGCAGGGGGAGTGGGAGAAGGAGAAGCAGGCTTCCCCCCGGAGCAGGGAGCCCAATGCGGGGCTCGATCCAGGACCCTGGGATCATGACCTGAGCTGAAGGCAGACGCTTAATGACTGAGCCACCCAGGCGCCCCTCACACGGTGTTTTAAATAATTATTTGATTTTTTGTATGTTTTATAATGTACCTAATATATTAGTTATATAATAATACATGTGTGTATATATATGCATACTATATATTATATATACTATTGTGTATGTAATTAATATATATTATATACAATAATTTTTATCTAACCCTTACGTGGCACTTACCATGTACCAGGCACTATGCTTTACAAATATTAACTCATTTAATTTTCATAATGATACTGTGAGGTAGCTGCTTTCATTACAGTCCTTTTGGCTTCTAACTCCATGCATTTTAGGATAAGCTAAATAAGTATATTGGGAGGGGAGAGTGGACAAACATTTTTACTGATGGCTGAGTGACCAAAAATGTTTGGCAACAATTGCTGTAGACTAGTCATAGCAACTCCTAATCTCAAAATTTAAAGGGATTTTGGGTGATCAAACCCACCTTTTTTTTCCACTGACAAAATGTTGCTTTGCATGTAGAGAGGGAGGAGGCTGAATGAAGGTGCGGGTAGAGTGATGGTTGAAACCAGTGTCCTGGGGACATTTGTACTTGTCTACAGAGACAACTATAGCTAACACATGTGAAGATTTGTGCAATGGTGATACTGTAAGTTTCCCCATTTAAAAAAAGTTCATCCTTGCTAGTTTTGTTCTAGTTACTAATTTTTTTACAAAAAGATTTGTTTCTGAGACATTGAAATAGGGGAGGATGGGAGCCAAAGACCTGGAGGAGAAAGAATCCCAAAGAGAAAGAATGCGGATCAGAAGCAAGACCTGCTCATGCTCCCTTGGTGGGTGCTCATTACGTGCTTCTTGGGTGCTGGCGGCTCTAATTCAAGAACTATCAAACAAAGGTTAAATATCCTTGAAATAATAGACCAATGGGAAAGATAAAATTTACCCAAATCTATTTTCCACCTACACACTTTTTGTGTGGAGTTTGCCATCCCCTTCCCCCATTCCTTGGCCATCTCCGACAACTTGCCATCTCTCCACGTACCCACCAGCGCGCTTAGCAAACAATTGCTGCGGTATGAGGAAGGGCAGGTTTAACCTTATATACTATTATTACCGTTTCCAAGTATGTGAACTAGGTAGATGAGGTTTTGCTGCGTCAGAGAAAAGTTCTGGTAAGACCAGAGTTCTAACTAAGGCAGGCACTTAAAGGGCTGTGCAGAGTCCGCAGGGTGTATGTGTTGCAACCGCAGCTCTTTCGGTTTCAAGAGGTAGGGGTTTCAGGGAAAGCGAATGAAAGGTGTGACGGGCAGGAACGCTGCGCTAACTGGGAGTAGCAAACAGACGTCTGCCCGGACGCCTTTGGGCATCTAACATCCAAAAAGCCTTTCTTTCCCGTCCGCAGAAAGTTCTTGAGTTCCCTGGAGATGCCGGTTCGGTGGCAGGGGAAAGGCAACCCAACGTTCCTTCCACTCTTCCTAAAAACCTCGTACTGAGATGAACAATCCTTTCCAAAGGATTGCCAAGAGCCAGAAAACCAGGTGAGGCGGCCCACGTGCACCCAAGATTGCCGCGTGCGCGTCCGCACAGCGAGCGGAGAAACCAACCCTCTGTCCCGGCTGCCTAGGTGGGTGTGGCCTTCGCTGAGGCCCCTCCCCCTCGAGCACGTCGCGCGGGGCCGCCCGGGCGGGGCGAGGGAACGGGCAAGAAAGGGCGGGGAGTGAGCCTTGTGGGTGTGCTCGTGCCCGAGCGCTCGCGCCTGGCGTGTGGGCGGCGGCGCGCCCGTGCCCGCGCAGGGGAGAGGCCAACCCAGGCGGCCGTTGTGGGGTTCGGCTGGAGGGGCGGGGGAGTCACCTGCGAGCCGCGGTGCCGCCCGCCCGCCCGCCCGCCCGCCGCGTCCGGATCGCGCCGGCTGCGCGGGGCCGCTGGCTGCACACGCCCCGGGAGGCTGGGGCGGTGGAGCGAGTAGAGTCCGCGCCCGGAGCCCGGGACGAGGAGGAGTCGGATCTTCGCCGCTGTCGCCGCCGCCCGCGCCCGGCTGGGTAGGTGAAGCCCGAGGTTGCCTGTCCGCCGTTCCCTGGCGGGCCGGGAGAGGAGAAGCGAAACTTTCCGGCGCTTCCCTCCGCTGTCCCCGGGCCGTCTGCGGCGCGGGGAGGTGTTGTCGTCGCGGGCGGCGGCCGACGCCATGTTGGGGTCTGTGAGAAACGGGGCGCTCCCGGCCGCTCCCCGCGCGCTGGGGCTGCCCCGCCGACGCCGGGGGCGAGTCGCGCCCGCCCGCAGGACACCGCCGCCTGCGCCCGTGGGCTCGGGGGCTGTCCCCAGGGTCCGCGGACCGGGGGCCGGGGACGCGCGGCGGCGCCGGGGGTGTCCCGAGGTCGGGCGAGAAGTTGCGAGGCGTGAGGATTGGGGTCCCGTTCGCGGCCAGTGGAGTCTCAGGGCCCCAACGTCTTTCCCAAAAGTTTGCGGGGTCTGGGCATTAGGGACGTTGTAAGTTGAACAGCATATTTTTATGTGACTTGGGGCAAAAAAAAAAATGGCACCGCAGAGTTTGCTCTGATGGAAGCGTTGGCTCTAACACGTTTATTTAGAGTCTTTTAAAGTTGTATGGTCTTCGGCCGAGTTTATTTTTGCTTTTTTAAAATTTTACCGAGGGCCGAGAGCTTGCTGCTCATGTTGCTTGAATTCCCTTGTGTGTTCTTGCATTATCGCAGTAACTCGTGAGTGTGCGGTGGAAATGGTAGTATTAAGGTTACAGATAACTAAGCCTTTTTGTAATTCAGACTCACAAAGTATGTAAGTTGATAAATACCTTCTTTGTTGTGTTTAGTACGTTACAGAAGAGACTTAATAAAGACAGACTTAGGAACTTCGATAGACTTAAAGGCATGTGTCTGAAGGTGAAGTAATCTGGACATTACGAAGTTTTTTTTTCCTTCCTTTGGTGCGAGCCTGCCATGTTTGGAGCATTTACCTTTTTTCCTGTACTGTAGTAGCTCACGGGGTCCTCGGGTTAATTCAGTATTAACGAAGGCTTCTATTTTTAATCTCTTCGGGTCCTGACAGCACTGGAGGTGAATGGTATTAAGTTTCTCTACTTAATTGGAAAGCACATGCTGTCGCCTCAAAAAATAAAACTGGTATACTAACCCAAGGCATCAAAAAGGATTCAGCCTCAATTACCCCAGTCAGTGGATGTAAATTGATGTGTTTTAATAAAGGCATCTTAGCTTTAAAATTCTGTTAAATGAACTGAAGGGGCTCTGAACCACAAATAGGATAAACCCTAAAACATGTCTTGGAGAATTTCTCTTCTTATCCTAGAGGTAATAATAGAGCGTCTGCTCAGATTTGGCTGCTAATTTCCTTAGTTCTTAAGTCCTTTTTGTTTTGTTTCATTGTCAAGTAAACACCATTGTACACATTGTTTTTCTGGATGAAGAGTTAACCTAGGAATGAGGTGACTTAACTAACTTCATAAATCTTGCAGCCAAACTGGTATTTAACTGAGGTCTTTATGACTCTGAAGCCTTCCTGTTTTTCCTATAGCATTAACTTTGTAGCATACGTAACACCTGTGGTGGAGCAAACTCTGTCCACCTTGTTTCCTCTGTCTTTGCTGCTCTTTCTGATTTTAGCTCCTCTGCGTACTTGTTTTCCTAGAGAGCTGATTTACAAGGGTTTTTGTAGTGAAATTTTCACGTGAGCCTATACTTTAAAACCTTCTCTGTGCTGTTCTCCTTACCCCACCCTCTTTCTCTCCCCAAGAATAATTCACTTATCTCATTGCAGTCTAGTAAATACTACACTGATCTGTCATGGTACCTCCTTAACTACAGGCATTGCATGGAGTCTGATTTGCTGCTTCATCCCCAGTGTGCAGAGTACATAGCAGATGCTCAGGAAAGGTTTGAATGGACGAGGACACATCTGTTCCTTGTAAATACACTTCATGAATTTCTTATTAAATTGCCCTTTCCAGGGGTGCCTGGGTGGCACAGTTGGTTAAGCATCCAACTCTTGGTTTTGGCTCAGGTCGTGATCTCAGGGTTGTGAGATGGAGTCCCATGTGGGGCTCGGCACTCAGAGCAGAGTGCGCTTGAGATTCCCTCCCCTTCTGCCCCTCCCTGCCCTGCTGGCTCAGGAGCTCTCGCACATGCTCTCTCTCTCTCTCAAATCTTTAAAATAAAATAAATCGCCCTTTCCGTGGGCATAGAAGTTAAATCTTCTCTAATACTTTTTTCTTTCTTTTTTTTTGAGAATTTGTCTTGTTAACTCAAATTTTGACCTGGGGATACAGAACTTGAATTTTTATGAAATTTCCAAGTAGATAATGGTATAATCAACAAAGAAACAGTGTGTCACCAAAAGAATAATAATCATAATTTTAAAGTGTCATTGAATTTATTTGTACTAGGTGGAAATAGAGGTAATTCCTTATGATAAATTTGAAGGTCGTGTTTACACATTTAAGCTCTTTGATAGAGCAACTCTCATTTCTCTGTCAATTATTGTTTTGTCAGAATTATCTTAGGACTTTGGTTTAGAATGCCTTACTTAATGGAAAGCATAAAAATTGCTTTTCTGTTGATAAGCTTATCTTTGAGAACAGCTTTGTGTGCCAGGTGCATGCTTAGTAGCAGTGTTCTTGTTGGATTAACTGAATATAAGTATACTTTGCTGTGTCAGGTTGCAAACCTCTCTAGGTAAAGGTGTTTACTAATTCTGTAATGAAATTATAGAATTTGGAGTTAATTCCCTGCCCCCCCAAATAACTTTCCCTCCAATCCATAAATCACAAACTGGTGTGCCCAATTTGTGAGGTCCTAGGAAGGAAGAGAAGGCATTCGAGTAGCTGCTGTGCTAGAGAAAGCAGGTTGCAGTAGGGTGGACTGGAACAAACAAACCTGTATCCATAGCTCTGCTCGTTACTGGATTGTGACTCTAGAACAGGTTGCTTCATTTCTCTAAGCTTCACAGGACTCATTTGTGAAATGGACACAAATATTTGCCTCAAAGTGTTGTGAGGATTTACTAAAATGTTTGTGGAATTGCCTGGTGCCTGATACTCAGTAAGTTATATTAGCAAATGAACAAAGTGGTTGTCATTTACATTGAATCATAGAATTTAGAAGGAGACAACTTGGGCGTCTGGGTGGCTCAGTTGGTTAAGTGACTGCCTTCGGCTCAAGTCATGATCCTGGAATCCCAGGATGGAGTCCCGCATCGAGCAGGGAGCCTGCTTCTCCCTCTGACCCTCCCCCTCCTTGTGCTCTCCCTCTCTCTCATTCTCTCTCTCAAATTAAAAAAAAAAAAAATCTTTAAAAAAAAAAAAAAAAGCAACTTTTAGAGGCACCTGGGTGGCACAGTTGGTTGAGCATTTGACTTTGGTTTTGGCTTGGGTCTGATCTCCAGGTGGTGGGATTGAGCCCAAGTGGGGCTCCAAGCTCAGCATGGAGTCAGCTTGAGATTCTCTCTCCCTCTGCTCCTCCTGCTCGTTTGTGCTCTCTTTCAAATAAATAAATCTTAAAAAAAAAAAAAAAAAAAAAAAGGAAGTAGCTGTTAGAAATATGTAGTTTAGTTCTTAACCTTGGCCACACATTAGAATTCCCTGAGGAACTTCTTAAAAATACGGATGCCTGAATTCCACCCTAGAACCAAGTCAGAATTACTGGGTGTGGGGTCAAGGCATAGGTAGTTTTGTCGGTGTATGTGTGTGGGGTTTTTTTAAGCACCTATGATTTTAATGTGTAGTCAAGGTTGAGAATCATTGATATCCCATCTCCTTACTCTTAATTTTGTGGTTGAATAAAGTACAGAGAGAGGTTAAGTGCCCCCCAAATTCCTGTCAGACTACAAAGGATGTATCTGAGTCAGAGAAAAGTGAAGTATGTAGAGGTTAAAGTAACAGTTACATTCATTTCAGACCAGAAAGGTGGGCTACATTTGTAAATAACTACAGTTGACTTACTCTAGTGACCTTTACTACCACTCTACATCAGCAACCTACACGGATGACCGAGTTATTTAACCTTGTCATCATTTTGAACTACCTCAAGTCTTAAACTCCCCAGAGGTGGTGATTCAAGAGCCCGTGTGTGTTTTCCATCATACCTGATGAACCAGCTTTTTGTCCTCATTGTCACCTCCCAGGCTGTTAATTTTCTACCTTCTTTTGGGTGCTGAACCTTGTAGTTCATATTCTGTGAACTCACTAGCACCTCATATTCCTCTCCTTGACCTTTGCTGTATATAACTGGTCAATTCTCAACTTGTAAATACCACCGTTTCCTTTTTCTGCCCAGCACTTCTGAAGAAAGTTACAGCTTTGGTGACTATTGAATATTTGTTTTCCAGCTGCCTGTGTACTAGTTGATTTCTAATCCTTTTCTCATCCCAAAGTTGACTCATTTTCTCTGTTGTGTTTTCAGTCTCAGATTGTTAACCCCAATTTTGAAAC